AAGCACTGGATTGAAGAACTAGTTCAACTTTCTCAACAATTAAATGGCTAAGAAAAGCTGCAGGTGGATGGAGGCTTGACATCGACGTGCAAGATGGGATGCCTAACTAGTACATATAGTCCAAGACTCAGGTTAGAAACAGAAGCTTACAAAACGTTTGACTTTGATGGGTCTAACTCAGTTTTTGAAAGTGTCACCATGAGCTAAGGTCATCTAAATACCATATAGTAAACATTTTAGTATTTTTTCCATTGGAGTACTAATAGGTAGCCAGTACATTACCCACAGTAGAAAGCAGTCAGTGCAATCTATGCTTGGAGAATCAAGATGGTCCAGCTGGAAACACTGAAGAGTGAATTTCCACCTTCTAAAACAACCAGAGCTTCAATTGTTATAGCAGTTTGAGTGAAAGTTTTTAAGTATTTTTACAGTTCAGCTATTATGTTTTACCGTATTTTTCAGACTAGAAGGCGCACCAAATTATAAGGCGCATTAAGCAAAACAAGTTCATTTTGACAGATTTTTGAGCGCCGTGTACCACATAAAATCAGTTCGAGGTTAGTAAGCACAACCAGAGTTAATACATAAGGCGCACCGGATTATAAGGCTCACTGTCGATTTCTGAGAAAATTAAAGAATTTTAAGTGCACCTTATAGTCTGAAAAATACAGTAGTTTATTTTTTTAATCTCTTGGCCAATCAGTGGTGGCCAATGAACATAAACTACAAAACCAAAGATTAGTTGAGGTTACTACTGGTACTTCTTTTCAGTGTAATTCTGACTCGTATGGGCATTCTGGTCTTTTCAGAAAAGGCACTTTGGTAGACCACTCAGTTGTAGTTGTTGTTTTGGGATCAGACAGCTGATTCACAGATGATCTACAGTCCAGATACAATTGGGCATAGAATAAAACTCTTTTTGTTTAAGAAAGTAGTAGCTGCTTTGTACAAAATCATGTGTAAAAAGTGCTAATGTTTACCTAAAGTGCTGTGAACGTTTAGTTGATTTAGCTCTGTTGTGGTAAATGATGCTTTACCTCGTTGCTCAAACTTGTCCATTTTTCTCCAAACTAAGATTGCTCTGAGTGTTGTATTTTGCAGGGTAAACAACAGCTAACAACTACTGTTCCACACAATGCCACTTAAAAAAAAAAATCTCAAAGTTAAATTCAGCATTTTCCAAACTTTTCATCTTTAAACCCATAAAATACCAGTGGCAGAAACTCGCAAACCCAAATTTGCTGGATAAAGTGCACAAACCTTGATAGCTTTTCAAAGTTTTTCATTTATTCATGAATACAATTTATTTTATATTCGATAATAGTTGTTAAAAAAAAGTCTATTGGCAATCATCTTTTAATTATATTTTACCTCTGGATAGCATCTCAAACCCCCTCACTCCTTGTTCGCAAAGACCTGCTTTGGAAACCACTGCTTTAATAGCCAAGTTTTAGGGGAAAACAAGAAAATGCTATAATCTTCAAAACTATTTTCTGCACATTCTCTATTGCTGTAATCAGAAAGGCCTTTTCTCCTAAGAGCCACACTCTTCTCTACCTGGTCAAAATATTCAAGGTGCCTGCAGTTGCCTTCTTAATGTGAACAAAATTTGACAACTGACAGAGATAGTATGTGCTCCATGATAAAGTCGTTATGTAAAAGGAAATCATAAACCACTAAAATGAGGAAAAATGTCTAATGTGAACTTTATCCCTCACTAGTAATCAGTGACAACCTTGATCTTTAAATTTCAGAGTGCAAAATAAGTCATTCAAACTGAAACATCATGAGCTCTGATCTGTATTAAGAGAATGTGTACTTAGGAACCTGGGGACAGATGTTTAGCCAAACTATCTGTAAGGCCATTACACAAAAGAGCTGAAAATATGTTACTGTTTATCAAAACTTGAGATGGGCTTTGATGACTTTTTGCAGTACCTTAATAAATCCAATAATGCATTGATCTTTGCTGTATTTGTTAACCTCACATCATGTCTCACTCAAATGCACATTACTAATGGGGTACATAAATGTGTAGTGTCTCAGTGTTTACTTGATTTGTTACTTGTTTGTCATGGAGCACGCACAGTATACAATAGTTGGTCATCTTTTCAAAGGTGCTCATTGCAGTGGCCTAAAAAGTGTTGGAAACAGATTCATAAAGCAACAGAAAAAGCTTTTGCACATTTTTCTGTCATATTGATGGCTAATGTGTCTTTAGGTTAAACATTTTTAGAAAAAATTTGTGAATGGCTGCAAAGTACCATGTGTGTTTTCTTACCTACGAACACAGTCGAAGTGACAGGAAGCATGTGAACAACAGTGATGTCCATGAAAAAGCCACTTGGGATTAGGAAGTCTGAGAGTTTTAATGTACTGGTACATTATTATGCCCATTTTAGTGGAGTAAACTATGCAAATAGATGTGTTAGTCAAGCCTTAAGTTGGTTGTACAACACCACAATGACTAAAGCTATAGATGGTTTAGATTACGGAGAACAAAATGCCCAGATTCTAGCCCTGGGCTAACCCTTGCATGGCCTAATCCAATCTACTAGCTAGTTTATAAATGGCTTACAAGAATAACACAAACTGGAGATAAATTAAAATTTAAATTATTAATGTTCTGAGTGTTAAAAAGGTAAACTTACTGGCTTAGCAAAAGTTGTGCAAAAAGTGTAAAGATCTTAATAGTGCTCCACTACACAGCTTGATCCCCAATATTTATTACCAATATATTTCTTTCTCACTCTTTCTCCTTTCTTTCATGTTTAGCAGCCAAGACTTTCATATATTTCTACATAAACGTCTTGTCCTTGATCCTACATTTGTCCATTTCCACCATATTTGTTTACCTGTAGAGTTTACAGCCAGCCTAATGTGCCAATCATAAAGTCGAGGTTGGTTTTGGGAATTCAGCCAAGTATTTTGTATGCATTACGTACCCACATTTCAAAATTGCATAACCATCTGTATATCTGGACAACTACTGGAATAAACTTAAACTGCAACATTTGATATGATTCAGAATAACATTTTTAAGTTAAATTTTATAGTTGCAATGAACACCTTTAAACGAAACATCTTGCTGGTTTTAGTGCCACCTTTTCAACAACAACCAGCTGTGGGGTTTCTTACTTCTAGAAGGGCAAAGTCAGTGCACATGAGATTATCTAAGCCAAATATACAGCTGTGATTTTTGAGAATCCAGCTGCAGCCAAACACTTTTTTTTGTGGCAGAGATTCATAAAATGTAAAGACAGCACTTTAGCTGGATGGCATTTGTTTCCCCCTCCAGTCCCCTGATGAAACATTTCTTCTGACACAGAGGGTGACATCCCAGCTGCACCATTTGAAAGATGAATGGTTCTGGTGCTGGTCTCTGGTCCCCCCTGATAGCATTCATTCAACACACAGAATCAACACTTCCCTTTGGTCCACCGAGGAACAACTGACAATTCAGAATAGCAACATGAAACATGACCTTTTGCATAGGAGCCAACAATAAAAAGACACTTTCTGCAGCACACCTGGACTGTGAACACACCTGATAACAACCAAAGAGCGCTGAGCTGTAGGGTACAGCAGATAATCTATCTGTGACTCTGCTGCATAGCAAGGGGGCTTGATGTTCAGTTTACACATGACTTTCGGAGTAGAAACTGCGATTGAAAGCTGAAAAGCACGTTTATGGAAAAGCTTCCGGGGGGTTGCAAAAAATTGAACTCAAGCATGAGATTTTATAAAATTCTGGAGAACAGTTTGTTTTTTATATGGATGCATATTAATGTGGCAAAACAAATAAGTGCAACATTTTGAGCAGCTTTATATAAATATTTAAATCATGCATGACGGCTGAGCCAAACAGATTTCATTAAATGTGCAACATATATGCAAATAACTGCATGAAGAAAACCATCAAGCTGCTATTTTCTCCATCTCTTTTGTCTAATGCTATTATGCTGTAATAAATAAAATAAAATAAATAAATAAATTATGCATTAGAAGGATACCTTTAACAACATTTCATATGATAAATTAAATACAACTAATCCGTTTTTCTCTCCTGAATTGTTTTTTTTTCTCCTCTGCCAGTTAGCTTAAAAGGAACAACAAGAACATTGGCGGTAAGAGCAAAATAAATAACACAACAAAATTAATGGCTCAGTAACTTTACAAGTTAATTGAACAAAAAATATGTAGATAAATTAAAACCAGTCTGAAAATGGTTTTACATTATTTTGTTTTGTTGTCTTATACATAGTGTAAATAAATAAAATTGGATGCATGCATCGGAGTAAGGCTTGCGTAAGGGTTGCACATTCCACTTGGATTTCTTGGAAGTTGTCTAATTGTCTGAAGTGCAAAGGGAAAATCTACAAGCATGTTGGTTTTAAAGAAGTATCTCTTTTTTTTTTAAATGCTTATTTATGCAGTTTAGTATACCGTAACTCTCCACTGACAGAAGAGGAAGACAGTGGAGCTCCAGGTTATGAGATGCAGCCTGTAACGTTTGCTCGTTGACTCCATCCGTATGAAGGGAGAAACAATCCTGAGTCTGCAGTTTTCCTCTCCACAAACAGCACTTTTCCTGCAAATGGCTTGTGAGGACTTCTCTGTGAGAGTCTTAAAACTGGCTGCCACTCCTGACCCCTCCCCAGTTCCACTGGATGAGTAGTTTTTAATTGATGCGCTCTCTAAGGCATTGCTACAACAATCTTTGCCTGTCCTTTGTGCTCTTTAGGGAAATCACAAATTGCAGTGCAAATTCCATCATGACGTAGTTTGTCCAAACCCTTGGAAGAACCGGCCCTCAGAACTGCTCCAAAAGAATTTGGGCAAAAATATATGACAGGGTTTGACCATTGGAGTTAGTTTGATTTATGAGTTTAACGTGTGTTAACTCACACGTTTGCACTTTGGGTTTTTGGCTTACAGGTAGAAATTGGGGAATGAGTGATTGGGGGACTTCAACATCTTTTCCTCTTTTTGAACATTTTTTAAATGTCTAAGTTAAAGGCTCGCATGAGAAGATCTAAGTCACCAATGTTTGCAGCCTGGAAGAGTTCAGGCTGGTCCATCATGGATAACGCTATCCTCAAAGCTGCCCAGATGTTCCCAGACATCACCTGGTGGGACTGCTGGCGACTCCGGCTTTTTCTCTGAAGACTCAAAGCAGTCAGGAAGTTGCTGGCTGCCTCTCTGGGTTAAAAAAAACAACAGAAGTCAAGTGATAATATAGTTTGTGCACAGTTATTTGAATAATTACATGATGTTTGTGAACAATCTCTAAATAAAGCATCTGAGTTCACACAAAAAAGATATTGCTTCCATGTTACTAGCTAGATCAGATCTAAACTGGATTTATTGCTGTAGATCACCAGCAAGTCTTGTGGGTTTTTCTTACGTCACCATAGCTTTTAGTGCAACAGATTTTACAAAGGCATGTAGACGAACTTTGACTTCCCACCTTACTATGGGTGAGACCGGTCGCTGTACGTGAGTACTCATGCACACACATAAAAAATAAACTGAATTCTCTTTAATCTCTTGAACTAAAGTAGAGCTAAACACACATCTTCTCTTGGGGGGACTGAAAATGCCAAAAATAGGAATAAATGCAAAATATATCAAATGCTCAAGCTACATAGTCCTAATAAAAAAATAAAAGCTTTTATTCGTGGCTTTATCTCATTATTTTACATTTCAATCTATTTTTTCAGCGTATGATATATATTTTGTCTTTAAGTCTCCTTTTACAAGGTATTTATGATAAAATAATAAAACTTATCAAAATGCGTTTGATTCTGTATTATATCCTTCTTGTTCAAACACTTGTCTTAAAACAATTTAAACATGTATGTTGCATGTGGTCCATTGCGTGAAACCAGGACAGAACTGTTCTCATATTGTCCCAAGTGACTCACCTGTGTGCCCCTAAGTTAATGCAGCTGATGCCCAGGTTATAGCGTGACCTGATAAACCCCGGATGCAGCTCGAGGGCTCTAGTATACGCCTCCACCGCTTCCTCACTGCGGTCCCCATTTGCCAGCGTAGCTCCCAATCGATTCCACAACAAGTAGTCCTGGATAAAGATTGATTGTTGGGTTAATTAAAGTTAACAAAGATACAAAACGTTTTTTTATAGAGCTTATCAGATGTGTTGCTGATTAGTATCAGCCAATAAAATGTCTATATTTCTCTGTATAAACTGTATAATGTAAGCAAACTTCATCCATCCATCCATCCATTATCTTTACCCGCTTATTCCATTTTGGGTCACGGGGGTCGCCGGTGCCCATGTCCAGCAATCACTGTGCGAGGGGCGGGGTACACCCTGAACGGGTCGCAAGTCCATCACAGGGACACATAGAGACAAACGAGACAAACAACCATTCACTCTCTCACTCACACCTAGGGACAATTTAGAGTTACCAATCAGCCTAACATGCATGTTTTTGGTCTGTGGGAGGAAACCAAACTTAACATGTATTATTGTTTTAAATGGTTTTAAAAATGGTGACTTTTTTCTAAAATAAAATGGCCTATATAATAAAAAGTTACATCACACCAGATGTTCTTGTAGCGGTTTCCCACCTGCAGGCAGCTGTGTACAAACAGAGGTCAGGACAGGGGTCCTTCATCTTTGGTTAAGCCTGGGAGCAGGATATAATTATCCCCCTTTTGTTTTCAGAGCAGTTTTGTTTCCAGTAGGGGAGCAGAAATTACCAAGTCAAATGTAGGAAACAGGAGTGAGTCATACTCATGCCAGCTTGGGACAGTGCAGGGAGGACATAGATGGATTTGCTAGAGGGAACGGGAACGAAAAGGTTTTTTGTGTCTAACTTATCTCACTGCGTTGCTCTTTACCTGCTTCCTTTAGCTTGTGAAGCTCAGAGCTCTGCTCCCACTGATAGATTCTGACTCCAAAAACCTAAAGGTTCATTCTGTATATGTGAGCACCAAATGTTTGATTACAGCACGCCTTTTCACTTTATCTCCTCGAGTTTTTATTTAGCTTTATTTGATTTTTGCCATAATCATTCATCAAACATTGACTTATTTCAGTTCATCATTTTGTAAGTCTAAACTAAAGATGTAGTCAAGATAGGAGACATACAAAACAGGGCTGGGTTAATTTGTCAAATAATTTGCTATGTTGGATGTAACTGGGACCTTGAGTACACACTTTTGTTCCACCTCATGTACCACATGTGATGCGAATGACCATAAAGAAATTTGATCTTGAACTTTATGGTGCAATCAATGCTTGTTAAACAAATGACAGTGCTCTCATTTATCGTGGGGGATCCATACCCTGAAGCCCTGCGATAAGCGAAAAACTGCAAAGTAGGAATAGTAGTACAAGTAGTAAGTAGTAGTTTATTTTAGTATTTACATATATATCTATAAATATATTAAGGTGTTTTAAACCTTTCCCACACTCTTGCAATATTCTAAACAATGTTTCTAAACTCTAAAGCTCTAAAAGAGCACAGAATGTCATGATTTCAGCTCCCTGCCTCCTCTGCTCTTTGCCACCTGCAAGCATTCTTGGCCACGCCCACTTCTCCACTCTGCATGGAGAACAGCTGATCAGCTGCAGCAGGAAGTTTATCCTGCAGTGTGGGCTGCACAAAGGTGCTGGAGGCAGCTTTTTCTGCAGCTCTGGGCTGCACAAATGTGCAGCAGGTACTAAATAATTTAAAACAATTCATTTTAAATAAAATTTCCATGTCAATCGTGTGGCTCATCCATCAATCAGCCAATTGTGTGTCATGCCCAATCTCATTTTGAAAAACTGCGATAGAGCCAGTTCGCGACCCACCAAGTAGTGAGGGACTACTGTATCTTATTCAGCTCAACTTTATTTATGAAGCTGTTTTTTTTGTTTTTTTTTGGGGGGGGGGGGTGTTGCACATTTATCATTCTGCTCCGTTTGTTCCTCTAAAGCTGCAGGCACATTAGCTTCTTTGTTGCCAGCTTAGCTACTTGGTAGTTTTTAATTAAGCAAATAACAACAAATCTGGTGACTTTTATGGACCAACTGGAACCAATTTCTATTGAACAGAGAGGCGAGAATAGCCCAGAGGGTGTCATCACTGCCTTATTTCAAAGCAGCTGCACAATATTAAGCTCTACATGTGAGCTTTACATTCGACTACAATGTATTTATATAAAAATCCATATTAAGCATGTTATAATTAAGCAATGACGTGATTATAATTCAGAAAGTGCTGTTTCAGTGTTCTTTTTTAATTGGGCTGCACTTTATCAAACTTTTTCAGACTTTGTTTTGAACAATAATAAATAACATTAATAAAAAGGAATGATGTCATTGCTTATTCAGTTGTATTTTAAAAGAGCATAAGACAAGCTAAAGACCTGACTCACTCTCTCTGAGTCTGAACAGAGATTAAGACCAGCATTTGGAGTAAATTACCATGATAAAATTGTAGCGCGATATGGGGCTGGATATATACTGTTAATTATCAGTTATGAGTTAAGCTCATAAGATATGCATGTATTATGCAAATAACCTTGTTGTTTGGGCACCATCTCTCTTGGAGAGGAAAAATCAGTCTCTATTTACCCCAAATTAATGTAGTGAGTTATTTTATCATGTTTAAAGGGCATCAAATCAGTTAATACACACAGATATGCCAAAATAATCACAAATTTAGTTGATTTTATGTATTTTATTATAAAAATAATAATCTGTGATATATATGATGAAGATTATGCATAACAAAAGTTAACTGAATAACAAATAGCTTTGCATCAAAGGTCTAAATGATTATTCAAATTAGTGAAACTTAAAAGGCAGACTTAGGACTGGGTTCTGTTTGTGAAGTAGTTAAAATTGTGTCTAAGGTGAGCTAAGTTTGTCTGATAAGTTGTAATGCAGGTTCACCAGAAAGGCATTGAAAAGTCTCTCGCCTACCAGGATGAGAAGGTCAGAGCATGGTTCCGACAGCTGCTTAAAATGGTACCAACCTCAGATATTCCAGTTAACTGAGAGGCTGAAGTCTCCTCAAAGTTCACCTGTCATCTTAGAGGGACGAGGGTCCATATGGGAGTCAGCTGGGATTTACCACTCTGTGGCGTGATGGTTGCCTGGTAGACAGCTCTCAGGTTAATGCCTGGTTCTGGTTCTGCTGGGTTTCTTCTCTCTCCAGTTCTCTGTGCAGAAGCGTGTTGCCTCGGAGCGTCTCTTCAAAGCGTGTGTTTTCTCCCAAAGATTTCTTAGACAAAACCCAAGTGAAGTGTGTAGAAGTGAAACTTAACTGTCTGTGTAAAAACAGAAACGAAGGTCCACCTCAGGAGAGGTGGTCCTAACTCTTGGCTTTGTTTTTTTTATTTATAAAGGCCTCAAATAAATCTATAGTCCTTTTTCTCTGCCTTAAAAGTTTTCCTTTTATAAGAGAAAATAAGACAGATGTATTATCTTAAAGAAAGATTACTTAAAACACACATTTTCCTGAATAAACATTCAGGTATGGAATAAAACAGAAATGACATCTTTGAATTAATACCATGCAATGTTTCACCAAAGGTGTCGCTGTCCATCTCCTGAAAAGGAATGTCATTAAACAAAGGGTTCTTATCTTCTTGGGAATGAGTCTGGGAGAAATACTCCTTTTTGATAAGGGAAGTTATCAACGTAGCGAGTTTGGATGTTCCAAAAACTTCGACGTCAGTTGAACTCTCATTAAAACGATCTGTCCGTTTCGGGAAATGAGTTCGTATTGGCAGTGAGGTTAACACAGTGAGAGGATTTTTTTTATTACATTAAGTCAAGTAAGAAGTTTGTGAGCTGAGCTGAATTTTTGTAAAACAATGTCTGTTTGTTCCCAAGGGAATAGATTGATCTTACTTTTAACAGTTTAAAACACAGGAATGATATTTGTTTGAGCTGAGGTGAACTGTTTCTGAGGTGGTGTTCCCCTACAAAACACACACTGCCATGTGAATCTAAAAGACTGAAAAAGGAATCATTGCCTCACCATGTCTCTTTATTTATACATGCCTCTCACACTCTGAGCCTTGTTCTTAAAAGTCACTTTTATTTGTGTTCAAGTGATTCGGGTGATGCCGTTGGTAGAGCCGTTACCTCTCAGCGAGAAGGTCACTGGATAGAATCCCGTCCGAAAAGCCATTCTGGGTGGAGTTTGCACATTTTCTCTGTGCATGCATGGGTTTTATCCGGTGCACAGACCAAAAACATGTACGTTAGGCTGATTGGTAACTCTAAATTGTCCCTAGGTGTTAGTGAGAGAGTGAATGGTTGTTTGCCTCATTTGCCTCTATTTGTCCCTGTGATGGACTGGAGACATGTCCAGGGTGTCCCCTGCCTCTCACACGGTGACAGCTGGACATGGGCATCAGTGACCCCCATGACCCGAAAAGGAAGAAGCGGGTAAAGATGATGGATGGATGGATTCCTATATGCTGCTGGGCAAGCACTGAAAAACAAACATCTTCCATCCATCCATCCATCCATCCATCCATCCATCCATCCATCCATCCATCCATCCATCCATCCATCCATCCATCCATCCATCCATCCATCATTTTTGCCTGCTTCTTCCTTTCAGGGTCACAGGGTTGTTGTTCAGGTTTCTCTTGTAAATGAATCCCCGTGGCTCAATGGGATTAACCTGTATAAATAAAGGTTGAATGAATGGTGCCCATGTCCATCAGTCAGAAGCGGGGTACACCCTGGACAGGTTGCAAGTCCATCGCAGGGACAAACAACCACTCACACTCTCACTTACACCTAGGGACAGTTTAGAGTTAATCAGCCCAACATGCATGTTTTTGGTCTGTGGGAGGAAACCAGAGTACCTGGAGAAAAAACACGCATGCACAGAGAGAACATGCAAACTCCATCCAGAAAGGTTCCCAGCCGGGATTCAATCTGGAGACCTTCTCACTTTTATTAATGTTTTTGTCTCCTTGACCATGACTTATAGTTACACTGAAATTGTTGAACTTCTGTAGAACCCCTTTAAGTTGCACATGGGTTGACACATGAAGCACTTGACCAGCTGTATAAAAAACAAAAGTTTTGTCTTCTATAAATGTGGGAGTGTTGTAGTTATAGTTTATATGAGCCAATCATGAAGAAATGCATTTTTGCCATTGTTTTGGGTTATTATGTTTCATAAAACTATTTAAATTAGTGCTTTGACAGTGCTTCATCCACTGAGTCGGTCATAGACAATATTACAGCTTGCCTCTGTCTAACCAGTGCGTGTATGAGTGTAAGAAAAAAGGGTTTCCTACCTCAGGCCGCACTGACAGGGCTGTATTAAAGGCCTCTACAGCTTTGTTGAACTCTCCACTGAGGTTGTAGAGCACCCCAAGGCCTGTCTGCAAATCCGGGTCAATGCTGTCCAAGTTGTGCTGAACTGCATCCAGGAAGAGTTCTTTGACCTCTGGCAGCAGAGAGCTATGAACACACGCACAGAGAGAAGGATTAAAAAATGAGACTTAAGACCACTGAGTGAGCGCTTTGAGGACTGCAGAGCCATGATGTGGGATGTGTGGCATGTAAACTTTAATTCATGAGGATAAGGAGGAAAAAAGAGAGTGGAGAAAAATAACTACAGAGAATTGATTTAAAAAAAAGGAGTATTAGCAATGAATTATTTTTGCATCTTTAGAAAATACAGAATTTTCACAAAATCAAAACAGAAACCAGTAATTAACTCAGCCTCTGTGGTCATCTGGTCTTATTGTTTGGGTAAAGATAAGAGTTGCCCTTTTTAATAAGCTGAGCACAAACGATTGGAGGGTGAAACAAAGATACTTTGCAGGGAGAAAGGGGAAGCTGAATAGCTGTGCAGAGAAGAAACGGTTAAAGTCAGAGAGATGGACTGTACAGCAGAAACAAACAAACATCCATCCATCCATTATCTTTTTACCCGTTTATTCCATTTTGGGTCACGGGGGTCGCTGGTGTCCATGTCCAGCAATCACTGTGCGAGGGGCGGGGGACACCCTGGACGGGTTGCAAGTCCATCACAGGGACACATAGAGACAAATGAGACAAACAACCATTCACTCTCTCACTCACACCTAGGGGCAATTTAGAGTAATCAATCAGCCTAACATGCATGTTTTTGGCCTGTGAGAGGAAACCGAAGTACCCAGAGAAAACCCACGCATGCACAGAGAGAACATGCAAACTCCACCCAGGAAGGCCCCCGGACCGGGATTTGAACTGGCAACCTTGTCGCTGAGAGGCAGCAGCTCTACCAGCTGTGCCACCGTGCTGCCCAACAAAAAAGCAAAAAAAAAAACCAAACATAAAAAACCCCAGATGGTCTTGAGGGGATAGCACAGTAATTGGGTTCTACCTGTATCTCTCTGCACAGGCTAAATGATTAATGATTGGATAGCGTTCGTCTTTACATCGGGAGAAGAATGGAGCTTTTTCTAACATCATCATGCACTGGACAGCCCGGCTTTTTCAACGAGAGCTGTTTTACATGATGTCTTGGATCCATGTTGAGTGTCCGCCAGTGAAATTAGACTTAATATGAGCTGTGGTGGTGAGCTCCATCCATCCATCCATCATTTAGTTTCTCTCAACAAGCCATAAAAGTTTAATTAAAACAAATTAGACTTTAATGCTGGGGACAATCTATAAACATTTTTAATTTGAAAATACTACAAGCAATTTATTTTTAGTTTTACATGCTTATGGGAGTGAGGCTGGACAATGATTTTAAACTTGATGCACAGATTAAATCAGTGATCAAGCCCAGCTTTTATCATCTGAGACAACTGGCCAAGGTGTAACCATTCCTGTCACATCATTTTGAGATTTTAATCCATGATTTCATCATGGCTCATCTGGACTACTGTATTATTTTTATTACTTTATTTTGGTCTGAGACAGTCATTACTAACTCGACTTCAGCTGGTTCAGGATGCTGCTGCTCGCCTTTTAACTGGTACCAGACAATGAGAGCACATCACCCCATTTTAGAATCACTACACTGGCTCCCAGTTCGTTTCCAGATAAATTTTAAGTTTTGTTTTTTTTGTTTTCAAATGTCTTCATGATCCCGCCTCACGGTATCTGTCCGACCTGCTACAGCTGCACTTTCCCTCACGCTCTCTCAGGTCAGCAGATCAGCTGCTGTTGGCCGTTCCAAAGTCTACCAGGAGGCTGAGAGGTGACCGAGCGTTCTCAGTCGCTGCCTCAAACTGTGGAATGAGCTGCCTTTGCACGTCAAACAAGCTGACTTCCTGTTTTCAAATCTTCTGTGAAGACATTTTTTTTTTCTCTTTGGCTTTTAACTCAGCTTGAAATGTTGGTGTTACTGTTTTAAAATTATTTGATTTAATGTTTTTACTGTTTGCTGTTTTATGATTTGGTAGTTCATTACTTTTACCATGTCAGTTGATTTTATAGTGTTTATGCTTGCATGTGTTAATGTACTGCGCTGTGGCCAACGGTGCTGTTTTAAAGTGCTTTATAAATAAAGTTGCATTGTATTGTATATGAATATATGCTTTGGATTTTAAATCTTTAGTGGTCAGGATTACAGGTTATCGATTATTAAACTGATATTCTCCTGAATAAATACGCTGACATGAATACTAACAATACTGCAAGTAAATAAGTGTATTTTTGAATAAGCCACTCCACCTTTTGTATTGTTTACATTATTTCATCTGTCTGACATGATATTATCTGTTTTGATAGTCTTTATATAAAATTTTCAGCAAACCTGATGTTTTTAAAAATGAATCAATATTTTATTTTTTTTAGCATTTATTTAGTTTATTTCATCTTTCTCCTGCTCTTGATTTCTCAGTATGATTACGTGTTTCTATTTTATGTAATTGTTAAAATGACATAAAAACAATGTCCAAACTTACCATTAAAAAAATGTTTTTATTCTGAAGGAAAATTGTGAATGCAGAAGCTAATCAGCATAGCAGTCGATATCTATTTTTCGTTACTCATTTGGAATGACAATAAAGCTTCTTGAATCCTTGAATCAATCAGTCGTTGACAGTAAAACCTTAATTTTTATTGTTTCATTAAAAATATTTATAAATATATATGGATTCTTCAGTTTATTTCTTTCACCTGCAATTATCTTTACGGTGAAATTAAAAGAAATAAAACGAATGAACAATACATTTTTTTTTTCTTTTTGACTGCTTTACAAAACACATTTCATAGTCAAATATTTGCAAATATGTTACAACAAGGAAAGCACATTAGAAAAACATTCAGTTGTTGTATTGTCTTTGAATATTTCTACTGTGATGTCAGTCGCAATAAATTAATTAAAATGCTTTACAAGATCATATTTATTTATTTATATAATTATGTATCATAATTTAATTGTTTCTCATAAGATTTATTTAGCTTAGCAGTGTATCACGTCTAGAGAAACAGCAAAAGGTATCAACTTTCTACCTGTCATGTCGGCTCATGATGGGAGCATAGGACATCCTGCGCTGAGAGTTCGGGGACCCTATCAGGTGGGTTTTGCCCTTCAACAGCTGCTTGTACTTGGGATTGTATTTGATCCAGCGGAGCAGGGCCTCACAGGCATCATGACGCATCCCAGTGTTGGTCAGGCTCACTGCGAGGGCCATGAGGGCAAGGAGGTTATTAGGGTGCAGCTCCAAACACCTGGACAGAGACGAGATCCAGGCATGGGAGAAGGGAGATGGTGTAAGGTGTTCACTTTAAAGAGAAATTTAGATTTTACAAGCATGAATTAAGACAGGTTCAAGCAGAGGATCATCAGGCTGACCATTTCAGTGTGGATGAGCTGCACCTTTCTGGACCTGTCTTTAATACAGAAGAGCAGGTTTGCATGCTGCCCATACCTGGGTGATTTGAATTAGCTTTGCATTTAGGGAAATACTGTACATCTCTGTGGTCTCACAAGAGACGGGGAGTGTTTGAGATGATTGCTGCTGTTACATCATAGAATACAACACCTAAATAACTTCTACAGACGTCTTCTACTGCAGAAAGAGCGAGTAGGACAGAACCGCATTGGATGAAAGACTTGGATTAGTTGGGAGGGTATGTGAGAGGCCAAAACAAGATTAGGCTTTCATCAACATTCAGGCTTGATTTGCTGCATTTCAATCTCTAGTGTTCTTAAAACCATCATAATCCCACACCAGCAAAAATCATTTCAGCCTCCTGCTGTGGTGAAGCAGAAATTCATGTCCACACTATTCAAATTTCTCATGCACTCAAAGGGACATGTTTGCTTTATGATGAGCAGCTCCTTAAACAAATAGTTCAGCTCAAGCTTGCTTATCTGTACTGTTAGCAAAATATCTAATGAATCACTTAATGCATTTTAATAAAACCAAGTTATCAATGGATATACATCAACTGATCAACTTTTAGCATCAATCCAATTCAAGATTCCTTAGATAGAGAACTTTGCTAATTGGCTTTTATGTATGTGAATGTTCCTATAAAGTGCCCTGAGACAACTTTGTTGTGATTTGGCGCTATATAAATAAACTGAATTGAATTGAATTGAAGATGACCACCATAACAAAGTAGTTTCAGCAAACACATTTATGACTTTAACATGGTCAGTTTTACAAGTATTGAGTTTGGGTGTGGTAGTAGCTGAGAGTTGTTCACATTTCAACTAACCAGGGACCATGATCCAACACAGGAGCTCAATGAAAGCAATCACTTAAAATTAAATGAAATATTTGAGTGTTTGTAGGTGGCTTGACGGCTCTGGAATAAGGCTCACTCAGTCTGACAAGATGTTGATGTCTCCATGAGAATTTCTCCCCGATTCTTTCTCACCCAGTTCTGATTGCTGTCTACAGCAGGCAGAAACGCTAACCACTTATATTCTCCCTAGAAACTCACTTAAAAAAAACAAACAAAAAAAACAAACAAACAAACAAAAAAAAAAACCCTACAAAAGAACATTAAAACTGAACCACTCCCTCAAAAAAAGGCCCAAGAAACTTGATTTACTTTTTGATCTTTCACTTTGTTACTGTAAGGGTTCATATTTCACAGACGTGTGGACACACGTGGATGATAAACACAAGCAAAACTTATATTGTGAGGTATATTTTTTGACAACAGTTCTGTGACATGATTTGAATAGAAACCAATCAGGAACAAAACGAGCTTAACATCTAATATCCCTTCATACCAAACTGTTGCCCTCACAGATGGAGTGATTACATAATATACAAAGTAAATTTTCCACTAAGCAAACCAGCTGAAATTTCAATGGTATCAATATACAAAAGCCTGTAGGATTAAGTGAGATTTGTGTCAGAGCTGAAATATGAATTATCCACATCCTTCTAATCCATTTCATAAAAATCATATTTAGTCCACAAAATAAACCATTTATGAAACACTTGCAAACTGAAGGATTACTTCTCCCCAAATGCCTGTCTCAAGTATTTTCAAGTGACTTGTCAGTGTTCACAATCCTTCAAGGAAGGTGCAATCTCTGGCTTCAGCAGTGTTATGGATGAAACTGGGCCACATCCCACTGAGGACTCCAGTCAGAACCTCGACTTTTGCAATCAGCATCCATGTGGGGTTCTTCTACTTTAAGAATAGAAAACATCACAGAACTTCTTCCTCCAATACCTGATTTAGGAACTTTGGCAATTCAAAAGTGAACTAGGGGTCCATGCTTTATTGAACTGTAACTATGACACATTTATTTATATATTTGTTATGATTAAAAAAAAAAATCTGGATATACCTTGGCCGAAAAGTTTGTAGAAACTAGGCAAGTGTATTATTGAGTCTTAACAGCTCTTACATGCTGGTAGCACCGTACAGATCTTCTGTGCTTTTTGTCTTTACGTCAGAAATGAATACAGTTGTGCTTTTCATTACCTTTGGAGGCAGACAATTGCTGCCTGCTCATTTTCATTTTCAGCCTGTGTGGTCCCCAACACTTGCCAAGCCTGCAAAGAAAAGACAACACAGATAACAGGGAATAACAGGCTAGAAACGCCACGACCTATCTTCTCAAGGGACACAAACACAGGAGGAACAATGAGATCCAACACTGAGGCCCTGTACACACGTAGCCTGGTGTTTGAAAAAACGAATATCCGCGCAAAAAAATATCGCCGTACATACATGTTCGGATAGAGAAAATGATCGTCTACATGAACCCGGTGATGTTCACCACAGAGCGTTGTAAAGAATATGCCCAACCCATAGGAGGCAGTGTAGTGCAAAGGTGAAACGTATATCAGCAAATCACAACCCTTCAAAGCAACCACAACTTCCTGTTAGTATTGAATCATGGCGCCTGGAGGTTCGTTTGTGTGGACAGACCGCGAGGTTGAACTACTATTAAATACCGTGTTGGAGTACAAAGTTAATAAAACTCAGGAAAATGTCGACTGGGAATCCTGTGAGAACAAGTATTTTGATATTTTAGCGCTTTTTTTAGAGCATTACCCAACGGAGTCCTCCGACGAGTTTCCCCATTCACATGCCGACATCACGCGCGGGAATTTAACAACAAAAATGAAAGCAGTCCGAGGTAAATATCGCCATGCTGTTGATACAGGACGCAGGAGTGGACACGGTCGAGTGGTTCTTCTGTACTTCGAACTGTGCGAACAAATCTGGGGTGGCTCTCCAGCTAGTACTACCATATCCTCCGGTATTGAAACAGCTGACCTGGATCATTCTCGGACCCTACCCTCACCATCCACATCTTCTTCCTCCACTACCATGGATGTAGCAGACACAGGGTCTGATAATGAAAGCAGTGTGGGTCCTACTTCAAAGGAGAGGAGAGACCTGCTTGATGTACGTATATTTTTCTGTCCATTCCTCATAAATAAAAGTACTTTTGCTGTAAATGTTCATCTGTTGGATGTACTATAATTCACGGAACAGGTTTGTTGAATTGTGTTGCTATTAAAAATACAGTTAAGGCAATATGTGTGTTAAAAATTATGCAAGAGTTGAGGTGTGTAGTGGAGGCTGGAATGTGATGTTTTTTATATTTTACTGTGTACGGGTTGCTGATTTATTTTTATTATTATTGCAAAAAAGAAATGACACCATCATGCTCTTACTCATCTCATATTATGTTAGGCCTACATATTCATTAGTTTGATGGGGTGGTGGGTACAAAATACACTTTAAGACATATAGCAAACATTGGATACGCTGTTATTACATATTGTTATGTAGAAGTGATGTGAAAAGTACAACATCAACATGATCCAGGTTTACTTTTTTATGTTTAATTGTGATGATTTTCATTTCTCTTTTGAAGGCAAAACTAAAAGGACACAGACACGACCGTCTGAGGAGAAAGCTGCCTGCTGAGACCCAGTGGCTGAATGCTCTTGAGGAAGACCAGCGTGTGAAAAAGAGACTGGTGGAAATCATTGAGACATCAGAACAAAAAGCATCCGAAAACTATTCAAAAATGTCCAATACACTGGAAAGACTTACCACATCGATTGTTGATGGGTTTTCTCTTCTGAAACAGGTCATTCATGCACCTGCACAACCACCACACTACATGCCATATGAGCCAAGAGGTCCGATGTATTCGCACACAATGGCCCACCATTCTGTCCACCAAAACTCAGCAAATTACCCATACCCAAACAACTCCACTTCTGACAGAACACGTCAAAACACAAGACCAGGAAACACTATGAACACTGAAGCTGTGTTCCACACACCTGCTGAAGCCACTGACCAATTTTCATTCAGTCAGGCCCTTTTTAATGACCAGTAGAGTACTGTTTTATACATCGAAACAAGTCTGGTACAGTTAAGTATATACAAGTTCCACTTTTGCACAAGGTTGCACACATGTCAGGTTGTTAATCACAGTGTTATTTACTCTGACAGTGTTTTTTTTCTGTTTGCTATCTTTTTATACATACTGTGAAAAGCTTAAAATGTAGCAATTGCACAATACTTTAACTATTTACATTTTTGTTACGTGAATCTTTATAAGAGTGGTGATCTAGTCCAGTCCTTGGGAGCTACTGCTACTTAGATGTATTTCTCCAAAACACCACTATCAAATACATACTGATGATTGAAATCAGCTATTTCATACTGGTTTGTTGAAGAAAATGCAGCTGAAATGTACCTGTGGTAGCTCCCAAGTTATGGACTTGGGCATCACTGATTTAAAAGTGTACAGTAACTGTGCTGCTTTTCTCCCATGTTTAAAAAGCTTTATCTGTTGTAGATCTGTTATAATCTGATCTGTTCATAAATGAAACACAAAATAAGAACATGTTAAGTGTGTTCGTTTGAATAAATTGACAAACATTTTAAAAGCAAGTTTCTTTATGTGAATTTTTGTGAATATGACATTTATCAGTTACAAATACAGTCATGTTCATCAGAAAGTATTGGCAGCACTATTTAATACACTACAGGTCCAATTTTAAGAGAGAAAAGTAAAATCATTTCACTTAAAAGTCTGTCTAATGAGCTACAAACTATTATATAATGTATCTAAATCCTGGGTGGTAGCTTTTCATGCATTAATAGAATGAAATGCAATAACATTGCACAAAACAATTTAAAAATTCTCTAACATACATGGTGCTAACTATAACGTTTTTTTATGAAAAAACAACGCAGTCTGCTAAATAGTTCACAGGTTTTTGTGTTTATGGATCCAGACACTGAGTGAGGACTCTCCTGACCCGCTTTCCTTCTGCTGCCAAGCTGTCTCCTCTGACCACTGGCTGTGTGTCCGGTTGATTGTTCCTGTCATGTTGAATAGCTTCAGTTATTCTGTTTTCATCCACAGTGTCTTTTGATGCCTCACAAAAATTGTGCAACACAAAACATGCATATATAACAAATGGAAGATCGTTCATATTGATGTCCATGGCTCTCCTCAGGGCTCCAAATCGGGCTTTTAGTCTTCCAAATGCACATTCAATCACCATTCTAGCTCGGCACAACGAAAGTCCAAAGTACTGCTCCTGAACATTGCTTCCTCCGTTAGCATATTCTTTCATCAGGTAAGGTAGAAGTGGGTATGCAGGGTCACCCAGTATGTAAATGGGTATAGCGTCTTCGTTCTCCACAATTTGTCTTGGACAGGGGGGAATCTTCATGTTTTTCAGATTTGTGTTTATTGTGGAGTTAGCAAAAACTCTGGCATCATGCACACTCCCTGGCCATTTCACAACTACATCAATAAAGCTGTACTTGTAATCACAGGTGGCTTGTATGTTAAGAGAAAACCTCCCCTTCCTATTTAGGTACTCTGTAGAATTAGCTGATGGCTGCTTTATCTCCACATGAGTCCCATCCACAGCTCCAAGGCACTGAGGGAGACCATAAGCCTGCTCAAATCCCTCAACAAGTGCACGCACAGCAGTCTCTGTTGTTGGCATTTTTATGTAAGATGGTCCCAAGTACACAGTTATAGCCTTACACACCTCTCTAATTATGTTTGAGACTACTTGTCTTGATAAGCCAAATGCATTGGCCGTTTTACGCAGTCTTCCCTCGTCAGCCAAATAATATAGCGTGCATGCAACTTTTTTGACCACACAGACTGGAGATCGCATTACAGTACTCTTCCCTTGAATGTAAGGAAGGAGTAACTCCGAGAGCGACAGTAATGACGACCGTGACATTCTGAAGTTCTCACGCCATTCCTGTGGGAGAACAATTTCCTTCTCAAAGTTTTCCCACCAGCCAGCAGTGCGTCCAGGTCTGATCCAAAACCGGCGACGGCGACGCTGAATGGCGGTATTGTGCCTCCGTATCGGTAGGGATAGTTGCTGTAAAAGAGCTGAACGCCAAACGCTTTTTCTCCTTTGTAATTCCATCTGTTGGAGCAGTTGTGCTTGTAAAAACAAGCAAGCAAAAATTGCCTGAACCAGCGTTACAATTAGTACTTCCCTAAACGCAGTCATTTTCCCTCCGAATGAATGGGCAAACAAAAACAATTGTCGCACATGTGACGTCAGCGCCGCGCTGCACCATCTGTCGCAGACATAATGCGCATATCTCCGGTTCCGAAAGTCCACACGCAAACCCGAAAGAGGAGATTTCTCAAATCTCCACTTTGGTCGGAGTTTTTGTTATTATTCGTTTATAGTTACATCAACCGGAGTTCACGTGTGGATGAAAGGCCACACCGCATGATAAACTATTCGGTTTTCCTGATATCCGGCTACGTGTGTACAGGGCCTGAGAGACTGATTCTGGTGTTTCACACTTACAGGTCCAAATGAGCTACAGTGCATGTAAACATCAACGTCTACAATGCAATTAAAATGTTCAGCTAACTTGAAACAAAAGCACTGACTTGGGCTGAGAAAACATTTAATTAGGATTTTTGTCCTTAGGTTGTTTCAGCTGCTCTGGTAATTCATTCAAACAATAAAAATGGTAATTACTAATCAATAAAGCTTCAGGAAATGGTTTAATAAAACCTCCTCATGTGTTTAGAAGTCAAAATAATTGGTGAAGTCATTACTTCTAGCTGTTTTAACAGTTAATTGGGAGATTGATTAATAAAAGTGTTGCTTTGTTACAGCTAAAACTTGCACAAAATATGACGAACTTGCTGTATTTTTGTTCTCTCCTTCAGGCAGTGATGGTAATGACACAAATATTTAAGCTTTTTGTGTCTGAAAATTTTCCTTTTCAGATTGTAATCTCTGTTCTGAATGTTCCCCATTTTATTGAAAGTATCCTAAACATTTCATCTCAGGTTTGTTTCTGCCTGTTTTTGTTGCAGACATTTTTTTTTTTTTTTTTACTAAATAGTTGTGTTGCTATTCGGCTTTGGTAAATTAGTAATCATTGTCTAATATACAGTAAAGTACATCTACACCAGTGTAAGAGAATGTCACAACATTTATCAGGTTTACTCTAGTTTTGCTATTATGTGGTGTTGGATAAAAATATCCTTATATTATGGTTCGTATCCGGCTCGAAGGACCAAAATGCTGGATAAAAATATCCTTGTATCATGGTTCATATCTGGCTCGAAGGACCAAATATTGGATAAAAATATCCTTGTATTATCTATTTACTTAAAAGCTCACACATGATGACAGGAGAATATTTTAAACCCAGTTTACTTGCAATGGCAGATGGTCATGAAACAGGCTTATACCGATGTTCAAAGTTACTGTACATGCTTAAAGCCATGTCGTGAAAATGTTCAAGAAGTGTTTTTTTATACACGTTTATCAGCATGATGACCTCGCCCTCAGACTCGGAGGCTTCAGACGCCTGTAGGCTCCTCTCTGAGAGGAAAACAAACTTTCTGAACTCACACACATGGTTCAACATTAATTTAACATTAGCAGTGACAAAGATCCATGAACCTTTAATAAAATTCCCCTGACATTTGGTAGATTGTCTTCTGATTTGATTTACATTTTGCATAATGCACCACTTTTTTTTTATTGTTATAAATTACTAAATTTGATAACTGAAATAAAAGTATTCAAAATGTATACTGTATACAAACTAAATTTTCAGCTCAATCTGATTCTGTGTTTCATATCATTAAATATTTTGTAGAGTTGAAAGTTTTCCTAAATTTATGGTTTAGGTTTTATTTGGGGCAGCACGGTGGCGCAACTGGTAGAGCTGCTGCCTCTCAGCGAGAAGGTCCTTGGTTCAAACCCCGGTCCAGGGGCCTTTCTGGGTGGAGTTTGCATGTTCTCTCCGTGCATGCGTGGGTTTTCTCCGGGTGCTCCGGTTTCCTCCCACAGACCAAAAACATGCATGTTAGGCTGATTGGTAACTCTAAATTGTCCCTAGGTGTGAGTGAGAGAGTGAATGGTTGTTTGTCTCGTTTGTCTCTATGTGGCCCTGTGATGGACTTGCGACCCGTCCAGGGTGTACCCCGCCCCTCGCACAGTGATTGCTGGACATGGGCACCAGCGACCCCCGTGACCCAAAATGGAATAAGCGGGTAAAGATAATGGATGGATGGATGGATGGATGGATGGTTTTATTTGGATCAGACTGAGATACAGCTGGTGTGTTGTGAGACCCAATTGACAAGGTCTTGGATGTAAAAGTCTAAATTTAAGTTTAAAAACCTTGTGTTGGAGAAATGAATAATTAGCTATATGTGCATTACTCTTTATTTTTATTGGTCCCAGTTTTCTGTAAAATGGCAAATCCTAAATTGTGTCTTTGGGTGATATTTTATGTTAATTGGCAAATTGTTCATTTCTGAATTTAAATCGTTCAATCCAATTAAGCCTTTTGAAGCATGCATAAGTTTACTATTAACAGCACTGAGGAGGAGCCACACGAATGAACACTTAACACACTAAAGCAGACAATAACTAACTAAAATCCAAACAATGACTTTATGGGATTACCCGTCTGTTTTGCATGTGTAAGGGCACATTTTATATCTTGTTCTAAAGCTTATCTCTGTCGATGCTGTTTTGTTTGACTCTTTGAAATGAAGGGTGAAATTATTTCTGAATGATTCACAGTGGGCCAATAAGCCACTAAGCGGCCCCAGAAGGAATTTCAGAATTGTATTAGTTCCATACACTGCATGATAATCCTCTCTTCGGAATAACTGGCACATTTCTCTATATTCTGGGGGATTCTGGAAGCCCTTTGTGTGATGGCTTTGCTCTTTTAGCTTGCAAAGAGGTCACTTCTTTTGAAATGGGGGAGCATATCAAAGAGGAGAAAAAAACTTGCAGGTGTTATTCAGCAACCTGAGCAAATGGAAGTTCTCATGGAGAGCAGGCTGAGTGTTTTCTCTACACTAAATAATTATTTTTTAACAAGTAAAAATATAAATCCTTTGGCAGATACAGGCAATCAGCATCAAGCCTGTGGGTGCTGCCCGCAGAATCAGCTTCTCTCAGCCTGTGGTCAGTGAAGCGTTCTTCCTCTGCAGCTTCTCACAACATGAGGTGGAGTAAGTGGGGTTGGATTTTGATTAAGGTGTACTGAAATCCCAGCTGATCCAGTACTGTGTACTGTGTGCTGGATTGTATTTTCTACCAGCCATTTATGCTTCAAATGCATCATCTTTCTTTTGTAAATATGAATGTCACTGTGGTTAACTTTGGGAGTCAAATACAACAAAGAAAATAATATAAACAAGAAATTGGTATGACTTTAGTTTCTAAATACATTCACCTCTGAATCATGAGGGTCTTGCAGGACGGCTGCTTCCAGCATAAGGACAGAGTTTGGCAAGTCTCCCTCTCGAGATTTCCTTAGTCCCTCCTCAAACGCATTTGGCAAGTCCTTATAAGGATTATCTGTGTGGAAGTAGTAACCCTGTCAGCAAATTGGAAAAAAAAAAAAAAAAAAAAAAAACAGGGACAGTGGCAATGTCAGTTATTCTCCTCCAAATTTAAATACAACTATCATGTACTGTTGGTATATTTGAGCAAAGCTCCATTGATTTTTTTCCCTTCACATCAAACCTGTACCAAGCTCCTGGGGGTTTGTCTGTTCTCCAAATGTTAAACTTTGCATTTGCAAACTTAAGACTGCCCTGGTGTGTAGCATGCTTTTGAGATTGTTGACTTTGAAACTGGATTTTCTGTAAGATCTGTAATCTATCAGAAAACCTAGAAGTTTACTGTTCACACATATAGTTTGCGTTCATACAGGGTCACTTGTAATTCCAATGTCGATTGATAATAAACTACTGGGGTAAAAACAGTATTTACAACTGTTTGGATCATTTTAAACTAAACTGTTATTTTAAGTGAACTCAACTTGGCACTATCAAAACAAAAATATCCTATGTTTGAAAAAAAGTGTCATGAACTGACAACTAGCCAGTTCTAATAAAAGTGTTGCATTACTCTCACAAAAATATACCAAAGGTAAAATGACAAAATACATTTATTTGACCTAAAAATGTTAAATCTGGTCCTCTGGACATTCAAAAAACTAAACAAAGCAAAACAAACAAACAAAAAAAGTAGAAATGTTTTGTCTTTCATCCGAAAGACTTCCTCAGTCTGAGGTGCTGTATTTAGCTCAGTCTTATAAATAGCACCTTCTCAGAGTGGATCAACCAGTTTTCAGAATTGTATTAGTTCCATACACCGCGTGATAATCCTCTCTTCGTAAAAACTGGCACATTTCTCGGGCAGCAAAACTGGTTGATCCACTCTGAGAAGGTGCTATTTAAGAGACTGAGCTGAATACAGCACCTCAGACTGAGGAAGTCTTTCGGATGAAAGACGAAACATTTATACTTTTTTTTGTTGTTTTGTTTTTTTTTTAATGTCCAGAGGACCGGATTGAACTTTTTTAGATTTTTCTACCTGGATTATTGCGCATGCATCAGGACATTTATTTGACCTTTCAGAACACAAGAAGTTGCCTATTCTGCCTTGACTTAGCTTTTGTATTCTCCCAATGTTGATTTTGACACAAATTTAAGTGATTTGAGTGATTCAAGCTTACACAGTAACTCATGAAAATGACACGCTGAAACAGCGGCTCTTGTGTTCTGTGAGGTAAAATGACAACTTCTGTCAAAGGAGCTTTGCAGACATGCAGTAAATGGACACAACTGATTCAGTTACTTAAATGGGCAGTTCTCCTTCAGACTGCGGGGTAGTGAGGACCTCATACAAACTCACTTCCAACAATTCAAAGTGCTCCTTTAAAATGGGAGACAGTACGTGTCATGTTTGTCTCTGAATTAATAAAATCATTGTTTACATTTAATTTTACATGAGCACGAGATCTTAAAGTGAAGGGTTTGTGCGACCAAGCCTGCATGCATTGTTTACATTGCACCAACGCCGGGCGTTAGTTCTGCTCTACATTACAGTCGTAGACAGTTTTGCTGCCCATGCTGGATGTAACCTATAAATAATGGTGACCTTTTCATGTGGAGATACAGAAGATGGAATCTGCGCCTGCTCATTTTCAGTCAGCCAGTTTCGCCGAGCAAGTTCTTCCCACTCCGCCTGCATCTTATCCCAGAACTCTGTATCCGACTGCAAACATCAGAGAGAGGAAACAGTTGTGTGGATTGGGGATGGATAAATGAGAGTGGAGGGAGACAACGGGGGGATGATTGATTAGTGTTCTGGGGAACAAGAGCGCTTGTTAAATTTCTTTCCCTCACTCTTGGAAATGACACTTCTGCCAAGTTTAGTGACTCGCTGTAATCCCTGGGCTCCAAACTCCTGCTGACTCATCACATTTGCTTTTCAAAGCAGAGTTTAAACACAGTCGACGGTGTAAATGAAAACAAATAGAATCATTCGCCCTATTCAGACTGAAGCTCCTGCACTCACTTTCTAATTGTCTGACAGTGAAATGATAGAAAATAATAAAGAATAGCATTTAATTGATAAAATACAGAAAAATCATACATTTTAGCATGTATAGATTCAGTTAGAGAGCAGTAAAATGGTTGTCTTAGAGGAGTTATTTACATGCAAAGAAAAGAAAAGTGAGACTGGAGCTTTAAAATCTGTCTCAGGTTGACATTTGAACTGTTATTTGCTGGCATTTAATTAGCTGACCGAACACCTGACAGTTACTACTGACTGGATAACGTGTCAGTTCAATATGTCAATTCACTTCCTGTAATAACTTCTCAATTTTATATTTGACAGGAGAGCAAAGCCTGCATATTTTAGAAACAAGATATAATTAGTTTTTCAATTTCATTACGAAGCACTGCTTGTGTTATCCTCTTCTTGCATTGTAATAAAACTTTAAAATGGGACATTACTGTAATGGGATTAAATTGCATTGAACTTTTAAAGGCATTAATATTGAAGCTTTCAGGTTTTAATAAAATATTCAAATACAATTTAAACATCAATATTGATGTTTAAATTGTATTTGA